ACTAATCGAATAAAACAACTAATTCCAAGATAGAAAAATTGTACTGAATACCATGTGCGCGCTGTCTTACAGAGATACGCGACTCATTCGTAGCATAATTAATAAAATACCATCTACATTTTCAATATTTTATTAAGGAAGAGTACGAAATTTTTGAGTTTAAATATTGCATTGGGAATGAGAAAATGATTAGAGTTGCGATTTAAAGTGAAATACAAGACACTCTTTTTGATAAAAGTATCTATTTCCTTTGTTACGAATGAAAATCGCGTATCTCTAAAGACAGAGAGCTGCCAGTAGGGCATGTGTTTTTGTCGGGTCCCTTGCGTAGTCACCTCCTCGTGGTGGGACCTGGTAATTGGTATCCTTTTCCAAAGAAAATTCTCACTTTTGCAAAAGGACACCAAGCTAAGAACTACGCGTACCCGTCGACACTCTGATTCTCACACACAGTTGAAAGTTTGAACTTTAAGTAGTTCGTAAGATAAAGTAAGTTAATTCTAAGATAGAAAATTGAACACTACGTGCGCGTTTCTTAATAAAATACCTTGAAAAATTATTCAGATTCTATGGTAGATATGAAAGTTCCATTTAACATCAAATTTTAACATCGATCTGTCAATAGCAAATTAGCAATCAATTGCCTACGAAACACAAAGAAGAATTTCTTCAATTTTCTGACATAAAATTTCACAAGAACTAGCGGTAAAGGAAGATTAAATAAGAAATGCAATTCTGTGACAAATTTTTCCCAAACAGTGTTTTTAATATGTTACACAATAAAAAGTTACATTACGTGGTAAGACACTGTATCTCATCTTATATATTTTACTTTTCAAACATTTGTATCAAACTTTTCTGCGATTTTTCAATTGCATTACGCATTATTGCAATAATTTCTATCGTTACATTTAATTCTAATTGTTTAGCAGCTTTTCTGCTGCTATCGACCCTACATTTTACTGACACTTGTCGAATCGACCCTACATTTTCTTTTTTTTTACGTGGATGTAGGTTGACCCTACAGTTTACTGACACTTGTCGAATCGACCCTACATTTTACTGACACTTGTCGAATCGACCCTACATTTTACTGACACTTGTCGAATCGACCCTACATTTTACTGACAGTTGTGGAATCGACCCTACATTTTTTTTTTTACGTGGTGGTAGGCCGACTCTATGTGATAAACAATTGGCAACCAAACGGTGCCTCGCTAAAGCGATATATTAAGAAATTAAGTTAATCAGTCAATAAGTTTTAACGTTAGATTGTTTCCTCGATATGGCTATAGTGGTCATCAGTGAGTGGAGTGTCTCTAATATTATAATCCTATGCTTAACATGTATTTTCTTGTGGCCGCCTGACAGCACCTGTAAATCTGGCGCGACAGTGAACGTGTTAATAAGTAAATGTTGTTCAAATTATGTCGTGTTTTATGTCATTTTCATCAGAAAAATCTCATCAATATGTTAAGAAAAATTTCGGAATAAAAAAACGTAAAATTAAAAAAGTTGATATTTAAATCGCTTGGTTGCCTCGACTAACGTTTCATGCTTATCTTTTATTCGCTGTCCTTGTCTACGTTCTACCTAAACACATTTTGTACACTTATCTTACAATATATAATTAATTTTTTCATAAATAATTACAATTCTTAATTTTTCCTGATGTTCAAGTCCTTTCCTTGATTTCTATGGTGTCCTGGAAGGTTCATCTGTAATTCATACGGGAAGAATATTAATTTTTCTAATTTTTAATACAAGTTATAAACAATTTCTGACTAATTCACTGAATATAATAGTTAAATCAATACAAAATTAATATGTTAAGCTATTTTATTAAAATTAACTTAAAGCATACAATAATTTTATTTAGGACTTTTAATAATTATAAACAACCATCTGAATTGTTTTTCGACAGGAGATAATAATTATCCTATTTAATTAAAGTACAGTAGAATTCCGATTATCCGGCATACTTTGGACCGATAATGAAATAGGCCGGATAATAGGTCTACGCCTATGAAGTGATAATAACGAAGAAAATTACGGCCGTGATTAAGAAAGTACGGCCGTGGATACAAGTTATGATGTCTAAATACATACATTATATGCGTATAAACAATACAATACATTCTATAACAATAACTTCTTAACTATTATTTAACAAAATATACACATATAAAATTCTTGCATAATACTTTTTGTCTTGACACCGTGGAGGTTTCCGCTTGACTGCTGCTGCACCGATGGTCACTGCAACCTGTAATATAAAAAATTCTCTTTCTTCTTGCGGCTTTTTGCCGGATGTTGCTGTCGCCACATCTAAACTAAACTAACGCCATTTCGTGTTTGGCTGCGCTAACTAACGGCTCGTTACTAGGAACACAGAATGTGAACAGAGGTATTAGACAAGGAACGTACTGCTGTGCGAGAAGGATAGAGAGAAAACGTTTCCTATTGGCCCACGTGCTACTAAGCTCCGCCTCCCAGGCCATAAGTCGAGACGACCTGTGAAAAATCATTAATAACTCATTATTTACGAAAAATTTGTGAACTTTTAGTATTGAAGAATGAAATATGAATCTCTAGCAATTTTCTTATATAGCTTTGATGGCCCTAGATCCTTTCAATAATTAGTTATTAACAATTCTTATGCACAGTGTCAGAAACAATACGATAGTCTCTTACAGTTTTTCATTACTTTCACACCTTTACTCGTATTATTTATGCACTTTGACACGTTCATTGGAAAGCCTGTTACTTTAGCTAGTTTCTCATATAATGTCCATTAACATTGCGACTGTAGTTCACGAGTTATTAAACATTACAAGGGAGAGTCCTCCGCTCGTCGTATCCCAATGAGCTCATCTGTTATAAACAATTGCTAATATTTAATAAATCGCATTACATACGCGTATAAAAATTATTGCAAAATATAAACGAAAGTCCATGCTACATTCTACCAGCTTAAAAGTACAAAATTAATCATGCAATTCTATTAAATTCCATTAAATTTACAGAGAAGTGTTATGCTTGAATTCAACGAGTGTAGTATTCTCCCAAATAATGTTTAATAACTACCAAACTACAACGTATATGTTACTGAAAATTATATAAAAATATAGCCACAGGTGCTCCCTTTATGATGCATATGAAAGATTGTACAGGAAATTGATACTAAACAATGACATTAATGAAAAACCGTACGGGACTGTCTTATCGTTCTCGACAATTCGCGCAACAATTATTAATAACTAATTATTGAAAGGATCTAGTCGTTTGTGCTTTAACGTAAAAATTTAAAGAACAGACAATTCCTTCTTTTTGTAATTATAAATTATTTTTCTGTAATACCAGTAGATGGTAGTTGACGTTCTATATGGTAGAGGGCAGTGAAATATAATTCCTAAAGTGGATTTGTCCACTTTTTTCATGTTGATTATTTGAGCTTTGATAGTACCCGTAATGCTGCGACGCACGATGAGAGGTTATGTTTTAACAGTGCTATCTTATTAAGTTGTGTATTATGATCCGACACGGATTAAACGAGAATAATGTGATAAGTCAAGATATTATCTGACTGAAATATGTATCATGTGTCATAAGAATTGAAAAATGATTAATATAATAGATAAAAAATTGTTGCCAGCTTTTTTAACCTCGTTAAATTGACATCACGTGAGAAACCGGCTTTTCTTTATTGTTCATAACTATATACTGGAAAAAATGCACTCTAAAACTGAATATCGGAGATCTATAGATGAATACAAACCTGCTGTACCAATAAGAAGAAAAATAGGCCTCTATTGGGTCTTGGTCGTCCTGAGAATTATTTTAACGCTCATTCCTCAGACGGGATATATTCATCCTGACGAATATTTTCAATCTATCGAAGTTATATCTGGTACGTCAAAAATTATTGTTTCTTAGGTTCAGTTACACTTAACGTTTAATATAAAAAATTTATAAACTGTTTTCATGTTATAGGGGATTATTTTGACATAGATGTTAATAAACCATGGGAATTCAATTCAACATTTCCCATAAGAACTGTTTTAATACCACAAATCATTGTTGGTATACCATATTCAATTTTAAAAAGACTTTCACAATATACACTTTTTTATTTGGGTATATCATTGAAATCACCATATTTTCTTATCTTATTTCCACGTTTGTTAATATGTGGTTTGTCCTTTATATCAGACTATTGTTTGTACAAAATATGTTACATGTATGGACAAAATTACAAAATAAGACTGATCACTTATGCCAGTTCCTACGTTATGCTTGTTTATGCCACTCATACATTATCAAATACCATTGAACTGGTGCTAACAGCATTATTATTATATTATGCATCATATTCTATGGCATATTCAGAAAAGGTATAATAAATCCAATGGGATAGTAATTTTATGTAGGTTAATTTATAAAATTATAATATTATGATTTCAGGTAGTTGTACAAAGTGACTACCTATCAGATAAATATAAAAAAGCAAAAACTGGAGTAGAGAGAGTACAATATTATAAACTTATAGCTTCGTTGCCCCCACATTCATTAAATCATTGTATAAAAATTGCAACAATTACCATAATTGGTATATTTAACAGACCAACATTTATTGCATTTGCCTTTGCCCCTATCTTTTTTTGGTTACAAAGAGGTTTAGGTTCAAAAAGTGTAGGTTTTGTTGATTTTCACATTCGAATATTTACCTTTATTGCCTGTGGGATACCTACCACAATTTTTTTTATTGTAGTAGATAGTTTTTATTTTGGTTATTTAACAATGGGAGAGATAGGTAACCTTGACATCAGTATGAATAATTTCGTGGTAACACCACTTAATTTTCTCAGATACAATGTAAACGCTAAAAACCTACAGCACCATGGTTTGCATCCTCATTACTTACATTTCATAGTAAATATACCCCTTTTATACAATGCTCTTGGAGTTATTGGCCTTCTTACATTTGGAAGAATGTTATACAGGTAAGATATTTATCTTAGTAATATTACTCTTATTAGTTTAAAAACTTCAAAGAAATATAAAATAATTAACAGAAATAAATTACATTTTACAGTGGTTTAAAAGCCCAATGGTTAAATCTACCACGCATACAAAGTGTTGTTGGTTTAATGACAACATCTTTTGTTATACCTATTATAGTGTTATCAATATTTCCTCATCAGGAGCCTCGATTTATAATACCAACATTGTTACCTTTAGCTTTTTTGTATGCACCAAATATAACTCAAATATCAGGAGTTGATACCATTGCGCGTATCACTGAGGATAACGGGTGCCGTAATGCCTTTACACCGAGAAATAAGCTGAATAAATTACAAATCTTTTGGTTCATATGTAATATCGCATTGACGTTTTTTTACGGGTTCGCTCATCAAGGTGGAGTTCTACCTTTATCATCTCACATAGCAACTGAATTAAAAGCAAAACCAGATCTTACACATATACACCTGTTTACATCACACACCTATTCTATACCAACAGCACTTTTACATTTAAGAAACACCAAAAAGACATACATAAGTAGCGGAAATCACAAATATAAACTAATCAAAGATTTTCATCTTTATGAACAAGGTTCTAAATCTGTAAGAGATGTATGTAATATTATTGCCTTAAAACTTCGTGAATGTGAACGCGAGTATATTACCAAAAGAATACCATACAGATTGTATTATGCTCTTCCTGCTACTGATTTGGAAGAGTTCATGACTATTCAAAATAGTACAAATTTATTTAATTATCATACTATAAATAGATTTTATCCACATGTTACAGTTGAAAAATTACCGTTCTCAAAAGTTGCTAATAACGTTATACATTTAACAAATTTGAACACGTTTTCAGTGCAAATATTTATAGAAATTGTGAACAACGTATTTGAAGCTTTTCAACAATTTCAATTGTTTTTAATACGAATAGAGTATTTAGTGCATAACAAACGTAAAGTGTATACGCATCGTGAAAGGAATTATAATTCATAATTATATTTTATTTAAATCGTTAAATTAACGTTATAAGTATTTATTATCATTTTATTGCTATAGTAGTTACATTTGTTACAAGAATAACATAAAAAGTATAAGATTATCTTACATAATATAAAAAATTATTTGTCATTCGTAGTAATGAAACAATATAATTATGCTAAAAGAGATGTGAGAAAATTCTGAGATCACCAAATTAAGATCCATATGTGCGCTACGTGCTGGATTATAGCACGTATTACACACTTTTTAAAATAAAAGCCTATTATGTATTAGGTTATCCCATAAGTTCGTGCCGAAAGCGAAAAATATTTTAATGCAAATCCAAGAAAATTCTATAGCGACGACATAATGGTCTTACGAAAAAAAAAAAAAATTGTGGAATAAGAAGGGGCTTACATTTTTTTTTCTTAATCAAATTTAAAGATTCGTCTGAAATATTGATCTAAATTACAAAATTCGACACGAACTTATGGGATGACCTAATATATAATTTCATCAATTTTCTCTACTTTTTATTTTGTCGAGTTAACTTCATTAGAAATAAACAGAAATACAGCATACTGTTAAAGTTATTATCGAATAATTAAAAGAATTATACACTTACTATTTGTTAGTTTCTTCTTAATAAATTGATATTATTCATGTGACAAAAATAGATTTAAATGATAAACTGTTTTCAAATTATTATGCTGGCAATTTTCTTAAACCTAAAGTTAATAACAAATACGGAAGTAAAAACATGTATTTTATAAGTCATTTACACATATGAAATTTTGTAATACATTTCCATTTCAATCTTCATCATACGTCCATGGCAATTCCTCGTTAAATTTACTCTGATGCGCAGCATTACGTGCAGCAAATAATCGCTACAAAGATTATAATACATATTGTAAATCTCAAGTCACATTAAAATCTTAAAAAATTTATTGAAACTTACCGGATTATCTATATATGCCTCACAATTATAACACCAGACTGATAAGTCACTGAAACTCAGAGCCAATGGATGCTCCATTCCTTCAGCATGCCATATACCATGTTGATTAATACTACGCGCACAATGAACGGTATAGCACTGTAGACAAATCCAATTTTCAACAATGCTTCCACATTCCATACATGGTGTACGAACATCAATTCCTGAAGGTGGTACATCCCTGACAGTATCTAGATGTGGACATTCTCGTAAAGGTATTACCGCGAACATCTCCTCAGCTACTAACGCCTGTAAAATTGACAAGAAATTCTAACTGATAAAAAAGTTCAATTAAATTTAATTACATGTCTGCAGTTGTAAAATATACATATTAATTACTTGCAAATTTTCAGAAAGATAATCACGTAAATTTCTGTTGTTGCTTGATCGCGCAGCTGCTCCTTCATTTTGTTCACCACTACTACCAGCAGTAGAACTGGTAAAATGTTTATTACAAAATTCTTCTTTTCCATCTTGATTTACGCATTTATTTGTACATACGGAAACTAAAAAATAATCATTATGTCGGAGAATGCTCTTTATCTGCATATATGCGTTCCTAACCTATCATACCTTTCTCATTATAGGCATCAATCTTCCCATAGAAATTGTTTGTCACATTTTCAAACTTCTCACATAATTCGTCCATATCTTCTGCTTTAATGCTATTTATGTGCCTCATAACAGAAAAACCTTTACTCCGATTGTTCTGCATTTTCTCGTTTTCAATTTCTTCCAATGCTATCTTGCATTCAGTTGTTTTTGCATTAACACATGCAGTTGTTTTTGTATTAATAGATACAGTTGTTTTTATATGCGGTACTTTAGCCTTGGGAAGCACATTTTCTTTTGGTAAGGATACATTAAACACTAAATTCGGCCAATATTGTTTTTGTATTTTTAAAACATTATTTATGGTGTGAATGCCACTTGCACATGGAATTTTTCCACTTTCTAACATTGGTAGAGGATCACCAAGCAGAGATTTTGTACACATGGCCACTGCATGTGCAATTGAATTAATATTGTAGCCTCCTTCAAGGCTAAGAATAACACGACCATTAGCTAAAGAGGATAACCAATGTGTTAAATGTCCATACATTTCTGGTGTTACAAAACAGCCTTGAAAATGAGAAAAAGGAATGTTTCAGCATATTCTCTGCAGTAATAAGAAATATTCATTAAATCACATTATATACCTCCAAGAGGGTCGCCAATACATGCGTCGAAACCCGCCGAAATTAAAATTAGTTCTGGATTAAATTGATAGGCAATTGGCATTACTACTTGTTGAAATGCTGCAATATATTCTGCATCACCCATTCCTTTCTATATACCGCATAAATGAAATATATGATAATTTTGCTTCATTAATATTAATTCATCCTATAATATAATTTTTAAAATTAACCTTATTCCATGGTATATTAACAGTGAAACCTTCTGCTGGTTCAGAACCAACGTAAGTATAATTGGCTCGTTTAGAATTTGGAAAGAAATTGCCATTGTCATAACGATGAACAGATATATAGAGAACTCTGGGATCTTTATAAAAAATGGATTGAGTTCCATTACCATGGTGTACATCCCAATCTACTATCAATACTCTGAAAATTATATTACTCTTTATACTATGATCGTATATTATTAAAAACAAATCAACTATAATACCTCTTTACATGATGAAATTCTATGGCATATCTAGCTGCTACAGCAATATTATTAAAAATGCAAAAACCACATGCTGTATCTGCTCCAGCATGATGCCCTGGAGGCCTTACAATAGCAACACCAGACTGACTTTCTCCATTTAACACACTATCAACTACTTGTAATAGTGATCCAGTAGATACACAGGCACTTGTCCAAGTATCAGGATGCAAATAAACCGAGTTATAGGTTCTTGCCTCCTTTTCGAGATCTTTCGGTTTTAAATTTTCTGTGTCTTTTATCTTATTTACATACTCTTTTGAGTGAACTAATAATAATTCTTCCATTGTTGCACTTCGGCCCTTTAAAATAATCAATTCAAAAATATAACTTACATTTTCTTCAGGGATGTAAAAAGGCATTAGCATACCTGTTTTATGTAACACCGATCAAGTAAATTATATTCTTGATATTTTTTGTAAATAACGTTAATACGTTCTGGTTTTTCTGGATGACTATCATCAAATATATCACAGTGTTTTAACATTCTATCATCATAAACAATGCACACCCTGTTAGGCGCTTTAGATAAGTTAGTAACTAAAAACCAATATAAATTTATATGATTTTTCGTTACATATAAAAAATTATATTAAACTAAAAACTTACATTGCGCTAATTCATTTAATTCCTTTTCTATCATTTCAATAACTTCTTTACTTTGAATTGGATAAAAATCTCGAGTTTCGTACACTTCTTCCTTAACATCAGTTCCTCTGTAATAAATAAGTAATATATTTGTGAAGTTTAGAGTAACAATAAAGTTTTTACTAAAAATGATTTAATTTCTTACTTGAATGTAACTACAGGTAAATGTGGATTACTATTATCTTCCTTATTATTTGTTGTACTATTAATACTGTATGTCTCTTGATACTGATAGCATTTCCAATATGGTTTATGTGCATAAATTGTATTTAAAATCGTGTCGCGTATACTACAATTATCATTAAACATATATAAACTGGTGGTGATCGTTAACTTAAATTATTCATATTAAGTACACCTAATTTTACCTTATTGAAGGTAATGCAAGAGTTTGTAACATAGGACATGGATCACCTAGCAAAGCACGTAGTGTCAATGCTGCACTCTCAGCTAGTGATCTCAAATAATAACCACCCTCTAATACAACTGCAACTTTCCCAGAGGCCAGACTCAACAATGATGATAATAAATGAGCATAAAAAGGAGGTGTTACCAAATTCTCACCCTTAATATGACAAGAATAGAAATGTTGTAATTATTATATATAGTCTTTTGATATAT